GAGTAGTCCTCGACTTGTGACCGGTTGGCGGTCGCGGCATTAAAAAGGTTGAGAACCACTGCTCTAACCGAATTGCAAATTAGTAGTCCTACTTTCAAAAGGAAAGACTTGAGATTGACCAAGCATCAATCTTACTGTTCCTTATCAATAAAGCAATTCACCTCATGTTACTATTCTACAAATCTTCATGCAACATCATTCTGCAGTATTGCTGGAACTGATGCTTCTTTCACCACATGTGTTATTATGCTCTGTGAAAACTCCCTTCCCAGAGATTTGGAAGCTGATTGAATGCACTATATTAGTTAAAGAACATATTCCTGAGATTGATTCTTAAAGAAAACAGGTACTTCTTTTTCCTGGTGTACTGTAATGTCAAGCACGTTGCTTAAAGCCCTATGTACAACAAACTGGACCATTCTCATTTGTTGTGCAGTCAATATTTAAGAAACAAATGGAAGACTCACTTCTTGAAAATCAAACTAAGAACTACTACAAAGAAAACTCTCTCTTTTTGAAAGCATAGCTGTGTCAACCCCCCAATATGAGCTGAGAAATGTTGTGAATAAAGTCGCTGTTTGTGTATTTCCAATCCTGCTGATTGCATCTTGGAACCCATTCCTTTAAGAAGCTTTCTCTCTCAGAAAAAAAAATTAAATCCATTTTTCACCCTCAGAGCAAAGACTTCAGGGTTATTTGCTGGTCTCCCAATTTCAGTTACACACACACACACACACACACACACACAGAGAGAGAGAGAGAGAGAGAGAGAGAGAGAGAGAGAGAGACGGACGGACAGAGAGAGACAGATAGAGAGAGACAGAGACAGAGAGACGGAGAGAGACAGAAAAAGAGACAGAGGCAGAGGCAGAGACTAACTACGGTATTAGGAAAGTATTTATGCAACTGTGCATAATACCTTACTAGCCCTTAAAATAACACTCTTCCCCTGTAGTCTTCTGTGTCCTCTGAAAAATTGCCTCAGTGTTGGAAGTCCCTCTAGAATTGAAGAGTGGGGGAATATGGCAATGAAGGTTAAGGATTAATGTGGGAATTAATCAAACTTGTCTCTTCTGTTCAGGGGAATAACAATTCTGTGTCATTTTTGATACTCTATGTAGCATGCCAGGTTCCTATCACCTAATTCCATGTACAAAGGAAGTCACCTTTCTAGATACCTGTTAAATAAGTGGAACAATAATGCATTCTTGACTTTTACTAGGAACAGATGCATTTGTCTTTCCCTTTCTAATGCTTGACCAAGGGAATAAAGACTTTGTATCTGTTCCAAGATATAAAGTCAGTGACACCAACAACGGGAGATTTAATTTGGATCCAAGTCACAATTGATGCAAACCAGGACAAACTTATCTCTACTACACATCACATAAATTAGAATAAACATCCCCGTTCTAGCTACAATTCTCAAGATCTTTGAATCCCATTTCCATTTTAACAAAAGCTCACAATACAAAAGACTTGAGCTTATCATATCTTTTTAAAAAAAAAAACATGAACAGATTTCTAGAGTAGACATGAGTGTTGGATAGTTTTCACACACTGCAAGATAATCAGGTTAGTCACTGTACCAGTCGTAACTTCACTAGGGCTGTTGTCTTTACTTGCTTTCCCATCCTTGTGTTTTTTCCTTTTTTTTCTAGGTAGGCCCTACTAAAGCCCTTTGCTACTTCTCTCAATTCTTTCCATCTGTTCTGAAGGGTATGTTTACAGTACCCCTGCACAGTAGCATTAGAGCGGAGGTCCCCAATCCTTTGGGCAATAGGGACCAGTTCTGTGGAGAGATATTTTTCCGTGGACCGGAACGGGTGTGGTTTCATGTAATTTTTTTATTTTTTATTTTTATTTTTAAAATTTATCAGCCGCCCCACTCCCGAAGGACTCTGGGCGGCTAACAATAAAAAACACATCAAACATAACAAAACAACAATACAAAAACAATCATCCAGGGGTAAGGTTTTATAAACCCCAGGCCTGCCGGAAAAGCCAGGTCTTAAGTAGCTTACGGAAGATCAACAGGGTGGGAGCGGTCCTAATCTCCGGGGGGAGCTGATTCCAAAGCGTGGGCGCCATCACAGAGAAGGCCCTCCTCCGCGGCCCCGCCAAATGGCACTGCTTGGCCGATGGGGCCTGAAGGAAGCCCAGCCTGTGGGATCTAACCGGACGTAGGGAACTATGAGGTAGTAGGTGGTCTCGCAAATGTACTGCCTGCATCCCTCAGATGGGGCTTTGCTTGTTTGCGCAGACTGGTTTCTGGCATGCTGCGGCCCAGTGCCGGTCCATAGACCGGGGCTTGGGGACCCCTGCATTACAGAGCTTTTCACCTTAAGGGGTGTGAATGAATGATGTGGTAGAAACTCTTAGCTAGATTGGAGAGAAGGTTAAGAGGGGGTTGAGCTTAGAGTCCTTGCACTGCAGAAAGCAACACAGGCCTGACCTCCCAAAGAATCCTTGAAGCCTTATCTGACTCTTCCTAAGGGAATGTAATCAATCTGGTGAGATTCTTGCAACACAATTTACTAACAGTAAAGCTTCTGCTTGAGACCTGTTCCTCTATGGTTCTGGTTGAGCAGAGAGAGCACTGTTGTTGTTGTTTTTCAAAGTCGGGGAGGTATGTGGACATTCAAGAGGCACCATCCAGTGGTATTAAAAATGTTCCTGCTGATTTGGATGGTTGAAGCCAACAGCTATGTGAAAGGACCTATTTATTTTTATTTTATTTTATGAGATGCCTTCCTTCTTTTACCAGCATCTTATAATCGGATATAGGAAGAGTGCTATAAAAATGTTGTATACAAGGAATAATGCAGAGACTCATAGATAGCATATAAACACATATTTGTATATCTGGATTTTGCCAATTAAAGGTTATTTAATGAAGTTTATAAAAAAAATTGGGACAGAAAGAACAGTGCAAAAGAAATTTTACAATCTAAAAGGTATATTAGCATATTATAGCCATTGTTTGGTCAACCATACTAATTAGATGATTTGTATTGTCCCGTTATATATATAATTTTATTCCCTTATTTATATTATACCATTTCTGATAGATTTCTTGATAACACAGTAAGCCTTGATATCTAAACAGACTGAAAAGTAAATTTTTGTTTCACCCATCCAATCTGTTAATGAAATACAACAATTAATTATTCTTATGACAAAGAATTAAATCAACTGATTACATGATAGTAAACTGTACAACTCCTAATAAACTTGAGAGTTTTGGGACAAGATTTTTTTTAAAAATCTAAATCTCTGAAGCACAAATAGACAAGACTAAGAGTACATAACATAAAGCCAACATACAATTAGCAACACCTTATTCTAATTATCTTTCAGCAGTTATAAAGGTTGGTCTATTTTTCTCCATGGATTACTCCTTGGATTGCTTCTGTAGATTAATTTTGGAAGAACTGGTACATTCCTTTTTATTTTTAAGAGCAAGCTAACGCACAAAACTAAAATCAATGAAGAAATCCTATTTGGTGGCCTTCCACAGCCAAGATTGCGTCTTAAAAATGTAATGAGTTTTCTTTCTCTCTCTTATAACAATTGGCAATAACTGATAAAGCACTATGATTTCATTTAAACAACTCTCCATCATTAGAAAAGAACTGAAGAAAAGAAAAACTATGTAAACTATACTAACCATTCATTGGGAACCCAATGAAAAATATACTGGAAGGATGAGAATGTATCCTCTACAATAATTGATGAAAAATGAGAAAAAATAAGCAACCCAAAGGTAAACAAAAGTATTTATTCACATTTTTGGAATATAGTTATCGAGGCTATAAAGTAAGATATGAAGTGATTTCAACTGCAAGGGCTGCATACTTGAAAAGTCCTAAGATTTGTGAAATAAGATTTGATAAACTTCAGATCTTATGAAAAAAAACAAGGTTAGAACTATGAGACAAATAAAATCATGACTCAATCTGTTTAAAAAATCCCTCAAACTGTATTTTTAAAAACATAGTAAAGGTTATGCTGGATAAGCTTATAATGAATGAAATTACAAGCCAGTTCTAAGTATTTTTTACTGATATCATGCCCATTGCACTCAATCATTTTCTAAACATGTACAATATAATATTGTGGGGCTAGATGGCTAGGAGGAAATGTTTAGATCATTTATTTTGTCCTAAGTAGATCCGTGGTAGTCATGAACTCCTAAGACACTTCTCAAGAGACCTGTATCATCATGCATGTTGAAATCCCTGACAAGCTTGGGACCCCCAACACCACTTCTAAAATCAGCTCAGACAAGGAGACTGTTGGGTGGGGCCAGATGCCTATCCTGTCTTGATTACAAAGGGTTTGGGGGGTGGGAGAAGAGAAGCCTGCATTATTTAATAGGCACAGTATCTAGAAGTCCAGCAATGCTACATCATGAAGCTCTGTAGGTAAATGGCTGTGCTTCTCCATCCCCATCCTTCTAACTTCTAACTTCTATGCATCCAATGATTATGTAGTGTAGTGCCTTTCAAACCGTATTCAAGGCTTGCTGCTAGGAGCTATTACTACTACCCAAGTAACCATAGGATCACTGAAACATTTATTACATTGGTATTCTATTGCTTACCTCTGATTTGGGGAGGCCCCACTCTCTGCCTCAGCATGAAAAGTAGAAGCAGTTCTTTTGTGGCTTGTGTCCTAAATTAACACTTCAAACTATATCATACAAACTAAGTTTTCTGTATTAAAGTCTCTTTGGCATTGAGCTAGCCTCCAGGTTGGAACAACTTACATTTATTTATGGAGTTTTTCTTTAAGGTACATGATCCCTGACATTAAGAGAAAAATAGCTTCAGTGATTCCAAGGTGCAACGTTTCATTCATCCTGATCTAATGAATCATGATCAAAAATATTTTTTAGCAGAAGCTAGGTGAACTGCGAGAGATAAAATTTATACTGAACCACTATGGTGCCAATAAAAACCAAGACCCTGGATGAGAGATGTTTCTTTTTATCTTACCTCCAGAGCCTTCAGCCGTTCCAAGAGTAATTTTGATTTGTCTCTTTCCTCTTCACTGCTGCTGTTTTCACTCCTTGAATGTTTATCTGACATGCAAATGTCTTCCACTCCTGTTTTGCACTGCTTGCCCTCTTGCATTAATGTTTCCTAAAACAATGAATATATATTTTCATCAACTAAAATGAGAATGATTGTTAGAAAATATGCTGGAAGTACATTATTACATTAACCCCCCAACAGGAACTTTTTAGTATGCTACTTACTTACTTATTAGCATTTATATTCTGGCCACTTCCAGAAACTTCTGCTGGCTAAAAATCATAATCGTAACATAAATATAATACAAAAAACCCAAGAGACAACAAAGGGTTAAAAGGGTTAAAAACAATCCACATCATGGTTCTTAATCTCCAAAGACCTTGGTGTTACTCAAGGTAAAAACAAGGAGCCATAAGGATTGAAATTCAAAGAAATAAGGACAAGAGTGACTTGTTAAAGCCTCCTTCTCAATAAAGAACCAGAAGCAGAAGCTGGGATAGCCCCTGAAACCCAAACTCCAACAACTGTTCTTTCATGGACTTGTTCATTCAAGGAGAATGTAACTCTATTCAGAAGTAGCATAGAGGCCAACAGACAGACAATGTGTGGACAAGGAGCCATTTTGTCTTGCTGGAATTCAAAGTCAGCCTGTTTCATCTTATACAGGCTTTACAGGATTAGAATAGTAATGGTATTACCTGTCTATTTACAGTAGGAGGTATCTAACTAGGTATTATGTGCACACTGAAAGTTTCTTACTCCAAACTACAGATGACTTTTCCCAGTGATTTCAGAGAGATGTTTCACAGATATGGGGGATAACACTGAGCCTGGAGTTCATCCAATATTGTTGTTGTTACTTGCGAAGTCATGTCTGACCCATCGCAACCCGATGGACAATGTTCCTCCAGGCCTTCCTGTCCTCTACCATCTTCTTAAGTCTATTTAAGCTCACACCTACAGCTTCAGTGACTCCATCCAGCCACCTCATTCTCTGTCGTCCCCTTCTTCTATTGCCCTCAATCTTTCCTAGCATTAAGCTCTTCTCCAGTGAGTCCTTCCTTCTCATTAGGTGGCCAAAGTACTTGAGTTTCAACTTCAGGATCTGGCCTTCTAAAGAGCAGTCGGGTTTGATCTCTTCTAGGACTGACCGGTTTGATCGCCTTGCAGTCCAAGGGACTCGCAGGAGTCTTCTCCAGCACCATAGTTCAAAGGCCTCAATTCTTTGGTGCTCAGCCTTTCTTATGGTCCAACTTTCACAGCCATACATTGCAACTCGGAAAACCATGGCCTTGACTATACGTACTATTGTTGGCAGGGTGATGTCTCTGCTTTTAAGTATGCTTAAATCCAATATATGACACCTAATATTTAAGGAATGAGGGAGCTCACAGAATATTGCCATTCTATCAAATATTTTGTTTTGTTCACAATTTGAATTTACAATGATGTAGGATTCACACTGAAATTAAAATCCTCATTTCATGTTTTCTGTTAAATCAGAAGTCCCCAGCCTCTGGAGAGAGGTGGAGAGAGGGGGCGTGGTTTTGTGTGCTGCCTGTACCCTGTGGATGGGGCTTTCCTTGTTTGTGTCGACTGGTTGCTGGCATGCCGCGGCCCGGTACTGGACCACAGACTGGGGGTTGGGGATCCCTGTGTTAAATAGAGTTACATTAAGGACCTTGTCTGCACCAGTGCTCCTTTGGTCACCAATTCAAACCTTCTTCACTTATCTCTTACGTATTTTAAAAATGAGAAATACATTTCTAATATTAGTGTACTGAACACAAATGTGAGCCAGAATGAAGAAGCTCACAGAATATTGCCATTCTATCAAATATTTTGGCTTCTAAATCCTTACAGGAAATAAAGGAGAAAGAACTACAAGGACAATATATACAGAACAGTTCCAGCCTTAGGCTGTAAAAATAATAAACTTATTTCAAACCTCTATGACCATAAAACTAGGTAATTTTATCACCAGAACTGGCATTTAGGCTTGACGTACATGAAGAACTGCCAACCTATCTAATATTTCTCATCGTATCCTTAGGTAACTTGACTACTTCACACTGAATACTGCCTCAGACAAACCAATACTTTTCACACATACAATTTATTCCAACAATGTGCTAGTGCTTATTTGAAAGAAGCTCTCTGTTTTTAAGCACTTATGTCCATTGCTGGCAGATCCTCTGTGGGTGCTGACAGTAGCAATGAAATTGAACAACTTTGAGAAAAGAAGATGTTCACAATAAAAGTGCAAAGCATCAAAATACAATTGAAATACTCTACTTTTACAAAACAGTAATATATTGAAAGATCAGTTAGGCCAAATCTAGTTTTCAACTACATGCATATAAGCCACCTGTTGATTTACTTAACTGTACTGTATAGTGGATGCAGTTTTAAATCTTAACCTTCTTATCTCCAATTAGACAATGCATGTGATCTAAGCTACAAGCAGAAGAGTCAATATTGCTCTCTTTTGGTTTTTTTTAAACAGATGATTAAAATGGATATTCTCCAGTGAACCTTAACAACAACTCTCCACACCGCTTGAGGGAAAATTGGATATAGAACATCGGAGTGTGTATAGTTTTGATCTTTTCTTGTTTATTTCTATGGGCAGTGAGAGTACAAAAGAAATGGGGAGAGACAACGCAGGGGAGATGGCTACACAGGGAAAAATAAAAGAAGTTAAAGGGAGAAGAAAGAGAGGGGAGGCAGCAGAAAAGAGATAGAGGAAGTATACATTTGCATGAGAATAGATATACTGCTTCATTTTTTAAAAACATTTATATCGCGTCTCTTTTCCACTGATGCAGCTGACAATAATCCTTGAAATATTATTCAATTGCAAAAAAGAGAAGCAAAAAGTGGCAACCCAAAAAAAGTGGCTAGGTTGATATGCTACCTTTGATTTTGTCAAAATTTTAACCCAGCAGGGGATACCCAAAACAGCCCTGGGGGTTAAATGCTCTGCTGTTAGATAACAAATTAATGCCATATAGATCAGGACTATGTTTATTACAACAGCTATAGTGCATGTCAAGAAAGCCTGAATATGCTTCCGCCTTCCCTCCCTTTATCTTTGTGTGAATTAGAGCAAGGCCTGTCTGAGGGTTGTTGTTTTTTTCAAATTAGTTTCCAAATTTATTCTGAAGGATGATAAAATGAGAAATTATTTTATTATTATTATTATTATTATTATTATTATTATTATTATTATTATTATTAAAATTTATAAGCCGCCCCACTCCCGAAGGACTCTGGGCGGCTAACAATAAAAAACACATAAAACATAACAAACAACAATACAAAAACAATCATCCAGGGGTAAGGTTTTATAAACCCCAGGCCTGCCAGAAAAGCCAGGTCTTAAGTAGCTTACGGAAGACCAACAGGGTGGGAGCGGTCCTAATCTCCGGGGAGAGCTGATTCCAAAGCGTGGGCGCCATCACAGAGAAGGCCCTCCTCCGCGGCCCCGCCAAATGGCACTGCTTGGCCGGCGGGGCCCGAAGGAGGCCCAGCCTGTGGGATCTAACCGGACGTAGGGAACTATGAGGTAGTAGGCGGTCTCGCAAATAGCCTGGCCCTGAGCCATATAGGGCTTTAAAGGTAATGACCAACACCTTGAATTGGACCCAGAGACTAATAGGCAGCTCACGGAGGCTAGGTGTAATGTGGGTGTATCGAGGAGCACCCACTATCACTCACGCGGCTGCATTCTGGACCAACTGTAGTCTCCGAATACTTTTCAAGGGTAGCCCCATGTAGAGCGCATTGCAGTAGTCCAAATTCAAACTTGTTAGAATTTCTCACCGGAAAATATAAATATGTTACTATTTGCTTCCTAATTTATTTATTTAACTTAACATCTCCTTTTGCCCAGATATCTTTTAAGTGTATGGAAATATATTACTGTTGCACACTGCCTGGAAATACATGCAATGACTGTCAGCATACATTTATTTTAAACAAAATAATGCTTATAAAAGCAATGTTCTCCTTCAACATTTTAATTTGTGTTTAGCATTACTGGTTAATAGGAGGGGGGGGGGTCCATGATCTTCTCTATGCCATTTCAAAGGCTTTCAAAACAGCCAGTGAACTACAATGGTTAAGATGTTGGGCTAGAACCAGGGAAACCTCAGAGAGGGAAGCTGATTGGCTGACTGGACCATTTCTAAAATAATCTCTCCCACTGGCAACTATTCTATGCAAATTAGGAGAAAAAGTGTATAGGCTAATTTGAGCATTTAGAAAAAGATTAGACTACAAATATAATAAATATGTAAATGTATTACACTTGTCTCATTGAGCAGGCTAGAAACAAACAACATTGTTGCACTGAGAGATTGTATATCTTTTTTTTTAATTTTTATTCATAATACAATTAAAACAACAATGGACAAACATGACATTCCAGAATGAATTTTCCAATCAGTTCCTATCATAGTACAAAAATTTTATACATTGTTCTTAACCTCTATATAAACCTCATCTTTTATACAATACAATTATATATACAATTATATGTACAGTTATGTATATCTTTTAATTCTACCATTAGTTTGAAGTCCGAGCAGTTCTTAATTCATACCAGCGGTAAAATTTGCCCCAGATTTCGAAGTATTCGTGTTCCGTTTTGTCTTTCATAATCATTGTAAGCCTGTCCATCTCAGCACATATTAGAATTTTATGCAGGATCTCTTCTTCCGTTGGGGTTCCCTTGTTCCTCCAATTTTGAGCAAAAACCAGCCTGGAGGCCGTTAAAATGTGTAGCATTAAATAAAGTACGCCTTTGTCATGTTTTTGCGTAGTTAAACCTAATAGAAAGAGTTCTGGTTTTGGTTCTACCGCTTGCTCTAATATTTCTTCCAACCATATTTTAATCCTGTTCCAAAAATCACAAGCTCACGTGCATTCCCACCACATATGATAGTAAGTTCCACTTTTCAAATTACATTTCCAACATTTAGGGGAGACATTGGTATACATTTTAGACAATCTTGTGGGTGGGAGATGCCATCTATAAAACATTTTGTAAAGGTTCTCTTTGTAAGAGGTGGCCAAAGTAAGCTTCTTGTTTCTTGCCCATAGTT